ATCAATATTGTTGGATGTCTTGACCATATTCATGATACTTATTTGTGTCAATTCTTTATGAAATAGAGAGATGACATTTTATATCAAAAGTTTTCCAGTAGAACAGTAGAAGTACAAAAACCATACTCCCTTTATCCCATTAGACTTTGACAATTTTCTTTTTTTGTTTGTCCCAAAAACTTAGTCACTTTTTTTTAATGTAATGAATTTGTGGTTCACCTTATTTTTTTTCCCCTTCACAAATCTTAACTACACAGTTTTTACTTTTCTTATTCCACGCCCAAATCAAAGTAGGCAATGTCTAATGGGATGAAGGGAGTATATGAAAAGTGCACAATTAGAGAAGTTAAAGTATCGTGGATTTACACACGAAATTATTTAATATAGTATGCATATATAATAAATTAGAACTCAGAAGTGCATCATTCTTCATATGTAACGAATGCACAGTTAGAACGATAAAAGGGGGAAATGTTAAATACAAATTCATGGTTTGTAATAAATGCACTAGCATTAATGTAAATTGAACTATATCATTAATGCAAAAATTTATGTCAAAAGTGCAAAATTGGAATGATTAGAAACATGTGCATATTTATGAAATACATTTAATACAGTATGTAAAATCAGTATATCAAAAGTGCATAATTAGAATTATAACTAGAATAATAGAAAGTGCATAAATTGGTGTAATAGAACAAAAATAGAAAGAAAGAATAAAATACGCGATATCTTGAAACCATGATTGTAACAGTAAACAAAATTCAACTTATGATTGTATACAATAATAATACCAAAAAAAAAACATAATAGGCTTCTAAATGTTTGGATGAAGTGAGGGGAAAGGGGGGGAAATGCTTATGAGGTATTGAAGTGTAATAAACCCAAAAAATAATAGGCTTCTAAATGTTCTGATGTAGTGAGGGGAAAGGAGGGGATGCGAAATCTCAAATTTGCCTAAGTAATCTCAAAGTGATCCTCCCAAAAAAATTAGGAAAAATTGATTCTAATAATCCCACCTTTAATCGATCTTCCCAAAATGGTCCCTCTTTTAAGTAATCTGAAATAAATCCCACCTTTCTATTCCGTCTTCCATGTTCGGTCCCATTGACTTGTTACCCGTTAAAATTTTGAAATCACACTTGGAAGGCTATTATTGTAGTTTTACTTTATTATTATTTACCTAAAGTCTACAATTAAAAAACCTTGAGCGTCACACTTAGTCTTTCTGGAAGGCTGGTAGAGGACGACACTGGAAGACGGTGAGGATGGCAAGGGGGACTGCAGCGGGACTGGACTGGGGGATTACAGAGAGGATTACTGCATCTTCCCACATGTTGTGCTTGCATTGAATTCTGGAATTTGACCTACTGAAGAAGAACCACAACCTTGTGGAAATTGTTTCTCATACAAACTAAAAATAGAGAGAGGTAGTATTTGACTTAATCCAACCTAAAATTGCTCTCATAGATTTAAGAGCTCTCCAATTATCCAAACAGCTAATCCATTATGGTAACTCTAAAAAGTAGAAAATCAAAACCAGTCAAAGATTAGGGATATATATGATAGAATAAATTCGAACAATGATATGAATGATGTGTTTACCTTAATTGATCTTCCTTCCCCTTTTCTCTTTCTCCTTATCTCTAAGCGATCGAATAGGAGATATTCTCTGTCAAGTAAAGTGATCCTTCATGAGTTCGAGGAGTGAAGAAAATTCGCAATCTGCAATATAATTGATAATTGAGTGAAGAAGGAATCGGCCGTAGAATAACAGAGTAAGAGCGATGACTACTAGAGAGCGTAAGACTGCTTAGGTTATAAAGAGAACGATTAAAGGTGGAATTATTAGAATCAATTTTTTCAAAAAATTATTAATCCGTCTGTCCTAACTGAAAATACACAAAAACGCAAAAATAAAAACGCATTTACATAATTAAAAAAATACGAACTCAATGATAAGCATCAAGTAATTGGAGATCTATAATAGAAGATAAGCATAGAATTGGAAAATCTCTTTCACAGAAGATCTCTTTCACAGATTTCGAATTTTTAACTCCTATAAAATCGTCAATGATAAGCATCAAGTAATTGGAAAAAAAAAACATGACTTTTGCATAAAAATGTCAAGACTGAACATCAAGCATAAAAATACCTGGATGTATTCGGAAAAACGATGAAATCTGGAACCTGAAGTTTAGAGCCGAAGGGAAAGCTTTTGAAATTGCGACTCTTTCACTATGCTAGAAAGTACTAGTGTTGGACTCATCAGTCCGATCAAGATGTAGACAAATAGTCACATAGAACATGATTAAGCCCAATAGATACTTTGCCTCCTAAACCTTCGCCCACCTGAATTTTTCAGTCAAAGAAGTTAAATTTTGACTCCTAATATCTTTTTATAGAAAATTATTTATAATATAAAAGTAATATAAATATACATTTTTTGTTCAAAATACTTTCATAAAATTATAACTTTTGTAACTTTTATAAAATTATATACTAATCAAAATCATTGTCCAAAGTTTATCATCATATCGTTTTTGTTTGGTTTTTATGGTTTGATTTGATTTGAAATGTTCAGGATGGGAAGAATGACTACGTTACCAAACAAAATCATATGTATTATGTTTCTATTTGGTTCAATTCGGTTTAGTTTGATTTGGTTCGGTTTATATTTTTAATTTTTAATAATATATTCAGATTTTATTGAATGTTTTTAGTTTAGTTCGATTTTATTCAATTTCTCTCGGTTTTGGTTTAATTTTGTTTCATACGATTTGGAGGAAATGTTACAAACTCAGACCAAATTACGTATGATTTTATTTGATCTAGTTAAATTTGGTACGGTTTGATTCGATCAAACCGAATCGATATGCTCACGTCTACTTTCTAGTTTCCAAGGAAGATTAATAATTGCCCTGAAACTTTTACAACTGTGTATTTATTGTTTTGCAACTTTATTACACATTTCGAACACTTTATATGTAATCGTGTGCATACATACAATGTCCACACCCCCTAGTTGTTTGTGTACATGAACACCTCGTGCATTTAGTCATGGACCCGGTTCGGGCCGCCCGGCCCGGGACCGGCCTGGCCCGCTACTGTGCGGGCCCGGAACTGGCCCGGTTCTCGGGTCCGGGTCCGGTTCGGGCACCGAACCGATGGGGGTGGCGGGTCCAGGCTCGGGGCTAGGTTTTGGCGACCCGGCCGGGTCCGGGCCTAACAGTCACAATTAAAAAAAATCATTTCTTTTTAAAACACCCTTTTGGGCTGTTGTCCCACTTCCCAAACGGCTATATAGCCGTTGGGTGGGTACCAGGGGGGTCCAGGGCTTTTTGGGGGTGGGGGTGGGGTGGGGGTTAAAAAAACCTATAAATACTCCTAATTTTAAACATTTTTTCACACCTCTTCTCCAACTCTTCCTAAATCCTACATTCCTACTCTCTACTTATCTCCATATTCATCTTCTCAAATTCTCTTATTCTCCATTATATTTTATTTTACTATTTAATACTTATACAATTATTATATCTACTTATATATTAGTTATCTACTTATAAATACATATACTATATTACTTATATTAATTATCTACTTATATCCACTTAATGCATACATTCTACATCTACTTAATATATAGTTTATATATTAAAGTATAAAATATAAGTGTATTACTCATCTTATAGTAGTATACTTATATATTATATACTATAAACATTATATTATATATTAGTTACACTTTAATTAATATCACTTAAAATCATTCTATTACTCATTTACTCCCATTAATTACTATACACATTCATACATTTGTCTTATTACTTACATTTTTTATTAACATTACTTGATTAGTTAATTAGTATTCTCACTAATTGTTACATTTTTCATTATACTAGTACTTCAAAATTGTAAACTTGTACTTCATATTTCAAAGTTGTAAATTTGTACTTGTACTTCAAATTAATTTGTAAACTTGTACTTCATATTTCAAATAAATATGCGCTCATTTTTTCATATGTAGTACTTCTCAAATTAATTAATTGGTTACAAACTTACAACTTAAAATTATTTTTCTAAAATCTAAAGGTTTTTTTCAAATTAAAAATACATTTACAATATGTAATTTGTTTAAATACTTATACACCTATTTTGTAACATTTGTAAATTATAAATCAAACCACTTTTCTAAGTAAAAATAGATTTACTTAATTCATTAAATTAATTAACTTATTTTAGAATATGTATAATTTTCAAAAACAAAATATTTAAAAAAAATTAAAAAAAAAACCCACTCCCAAACGGCTATATAGCCGTTGGGGCTTTGGGTGGGGGGCAGGGGGTCCCGGGTGGTGGTGGTGTGGGGAGAGGGGTTCAAAAACATCTATAAATACATCTATTTTCTAACATTTTCCTACACCTCTTCTCCAACTCTTCTCCATTTTCATCTTATCTTATTATCCTACATTCCTACTTATACATCTACCATTTTAAAGATGGAAAGTACATCTTCCCTTATGCAAAACAATTTTGATAAGTGGAAGGACCCGAAGCTTGGGGCGTTCACACGGATACGAGATGACAATAAAACATATGAAGTCAGTCCTGTGACAAAGGGGAAACAACAACCAACGGTGGCGGAAATCCCAATTGATATTTATTAGAACATGTATTTCATATTGTTATTTTTTCTCAATTCTCAAATGTAGTTCCTATTTCAAATAAATGCACTTGAACTTTGTTTTTAATAAGAATTTGTATATTCTATAATAATTAAAAAAAATTATGACCCGGCCCGGCCCGGCAGGTGGCCCGGCCCGTGACCCGGGCGGGTGGCCCGGCCCGAACCGGCTTCGGCCATAGCCCGGGCCGGTCCCGGGCCTACCTCTACCTGACCCGAGGCCTGACCAGGCCTAGGCCCGGCCCGGGTCCGACCCGGCCCGGGTCCATCACTACGTGCATTAGATGGCAATGACAATGACAACAAGGATGAATGCGTCGGAACTGGAGGAAGATGACTATGATCATAAATCATAGAGATAAGGGTCAGATAGAGTCTCGAACTTTAAAAAAAATGTCAAATAAGGCCATATTTAGGATGCTCTGTCCGGTTGACGCCATTTGGGGTGGTTCCCGGTAGAATTTTTTGATGAAATTTTTTGAGAATCTTATTCATTAAGTCTAGTTTACTCATATCAAATTTGAACTAAAACTTTAATCGGGAAGGCATTCAAATGAATTCTTGAAGATAACTGTACCGTTAAAAGCGCAGTTATCTTCATGAATTCATTTGAATGCCTTCCCGATTGAATTGTTAGTTCAAATTTGATATGAGTAAACTAGACTTAATGAATAAGATTCTCAAAAAAAATCATCAAAAAATTCCACCGGGAAACACCCCAAATGGCGTCGGCCGGACAGAGCATCCTAAATATGGCCTTATTTGACATTTTTTTCAAGTTCGAGGCCCTATCTGACCCTTATCCCTAAATCATAATAATAGACATTCATTTTAGGAAGGTAAGAAAATATACAGGAAAACCATGCAACTATTTGTTGCTTTCAAATATAATGCTTACATAAACTATATAATTAAACCCATTGATCTAGCCGACGTCACACTCTATGGAATTCCCTCCTTCCTCGGAATCATCATCTTCAGAATATCCAAAATCAATAGCATCATCACCACCTCCACCTTCTTCTTCACTCTCCGCAGCCTCCCCTCTCTCATAGTGTTCCTCGAGAAAAGGCATTGCTTGCATCCTACTCAAATGCAAAATATGCAATATCATGTCAGGGGTAAGTGTGACCAGCGAAGGGCCCTCTCTGCCTTGCTTATTGGCATCCATTATCTGATGGTAAAACACAAAATAGTATTCATTAAGCAAAAATATGATCGAACTAATGTTGAGTATGGCACTCTATATTAACAGGCACTTTTAGTCCCACAAGTGTTTGACAAAACATGGCTCCATTTGATAGCCTTATGCTGATTCTGCTATTCTGTTTATACAGATAAGTGGATAAAGTAGCTTTTGGTTTAGAGCCGGTTCGAAATGACCTTTGAAATATTTCAAAGCGATACTTCGTTACATATAAATGCAACAACAAAAATCACTGAATTAAAATCAACATGATTTTGCATACAAAGGGTTAAAGACTTGAAGCACTTTAGTCAAGCCATATGCATCAAACATCGTTAAAAAGGATGTTACCATATGGTATTCCTGTCAGAAATTTAGCAAATACCATTCAGCCAGATAAACTTTACCAAACGAGCCCTTTGCAGAATAGTTTGACTTCAAAATTTTGCAAATTTAATTCCATCACTCAATTGTTATACTTGAGAAGTCGGTCTCTTGTTAAAACCACCATTTAGTAATAAGGTTTATGGCCTCATAGGTCATTCATGGCAATATAAAAATGCTAACAATGTCCTAAGAAGCACTAATATTTACTAGCATTAACAGGAGTGACTAGCTGTTTCTAAATTATAATAGAAAGACCGCATTTACATACATGCAAAGACAAACAAGACTTTACATGATATCAAACTATTGGGGAACTAAACGTGCGATTTTCACTAGGAGTTATTAAGAAGAGTGCTAAAATTTTCACCTCTTGAAAATTACATGGCAATGGAGTTATGTCCTTTGATGAGGGAGCCCACAGCTTAATACTCTTTTCTAACCCAGAGGTAGCAAGAAGAGAAATATGGGGATGAGACTCAAGCTGATTTACTATGTCCTTATCACCTTTCATCAGACGGACAAGCTCTCCTCCCTTCTTCTTCCACATAAATATGTGACCACAGTCGGACCCACTAATAACATATTCATCATTTGGGCCAAAGAAATTCACTCCTTTGATTGTCCGCAAATTCCTATGCCCTGAATAAACCATAGGCTCTTCAATGCTACTTTTATCTTCACGTGCCGCAGATAAAGGAGGATCAGGACCCAACCCCATGTTCTTCTGGAACAGATATATCAGTTCGTCGTTGTAGGAGACGAGCAATTCACTTGTGTTAGAGTACGCCAATGCCGTTACATGAAAATCATTTGTCTGGATGAGATGACGAGGGCAAAATGCATTTAAAGGATTGGTGGTCTTTGCATGCGACTGACATTTTCTGATGTCATATACACGTGCAAATTCATCAGAGCCTCCCACAGCGAAAAAATTGGGATTCCGCGGGTCAATAACAATAGCGTTCAACCGTATGCTATCATTTGAGGACTGTTTGTTGTTTCCTACTAACGGTGAGCAACGAAAGAGCTTTTTGACAGAATTGCTTCGAAGGTCGTACTGCATTTTGCATAAGCAATGATTTATTTATTGTTAAATTGGGTCTAACTCACACCCTAAGGATCTTCCGTGCACTTATATACTAGATTCAAAACCAATAGACAACTTACGTGAGAACTCAAAACACCCCCAACCTTGTTGGGCTGGACATTGAAGGAGGTGGACCAATAGGCCCAAATCCACTGCCAAAGGCGTTGTACCTTGTTAAATTGGGTTTAGCTCATCCCTGAAAGTCTTAAGATGTGATTTTTATCTCACACTAGTACTAGATTAGATTCAAACCAAGTACATAACCGATGTACGATATTCAGCACACGCTCTTTAGCCCAACTCGGGCTAGAGAACAGAAGGGAATGACAAATGGACCCAACTGATGCCCACACTACTTGCCGCTAACAAACGAGTAGATGGACGCCTCAAAGACCACTATCGGACCAGATATTGTTACCCCAATATGGTCTCAAGAGGTGCAGTTTATCACACATATATAGTAGCACAAACTGGCAAAGGATACTGAATAATTATATCGAGATAGGGAAATGTCACGTGACAATAGTGACCTACATGTTGAACGAACCCATCTTCACCACAACTGTAAAATATGTATGGGCTTCCCGGTTCCACAGCAAGACTGTGTACTCGACCTCCGTGCTTTGCCAGCCTCTTTGTGTCTACATCACCATTCTCTAACACTTGGCCAAGCCTAACCTGCAGTAAGAAGATTTATTTGAAACACAAGGAAGAAGCCTTTTAATGAAAAAATAAATCATGCCATAAAATCTGAAGCACCCCAATCTATTCCACACTTATTTGATTTCATTTGGTTATTCTAATATAGTGAATATACTGTTTTGGAGCTGTGACAACAAAGATGGCTTTGAGAGGTTGCAGCAGTAAATTTTATCTTGAGTCAACAAGGAAGTAGAAAATCAATATTATTAGACATAGTACAATATTGCAACAAAGACGGTAGATATAAGGCATATAAGAACATGCCAATATGGTGCATGGCAACAGATGCTGTGGGGAGAGAGTAGTAGAAAAGAAAAAAGAAATTGCTCTAAATAAGAGTAAAACCATGTGAAATTTAAAAAAAATGGGAGTATAACGATTTTCGCTAAATAGGAGTAATTGCTATTAAGAAACAAATAAATAAACAAACAAATAAACAAACAGAAAAAAAACAACATCCAAGCCTTAATCCCAAAATAGTTTGATGTCGGTAGGAGTAATTATTGTCATGCTCGGAAAATACTGCCGATCTAATACTACCATATTAATGTCTTGTAATGGAATAATATGGCATTATGATTTCAGAATGGCATTAATTTACTCCTATTTAGGGGGTAAAGTAGCAATTCTATTTTGGAATTTCACATTGTTTTTGCTCCTATTTTCAAATTATGTTCAACTTCCTTCACTTATGGCTTTGAACAGACAAGAAACCACCTGCATTACTGAATAGCAGACTGTTGATGACAGCTTGCAGATCCTACTTTTTCATAAATTCATCTGCATTTCATATGTTCATTATATTTCAGGCTTATTTAGCCCAATTGTTCGAATTATGTTACGAATTCTAGGTTTTTTGGTTTCGGGAAAAGAATGCACCTTATTGTTTGTTCCTAGATAATATTTTACGGGCTTTTATGTGTTTGGAGCTGAAAAGCATTTTTCAAAAAGAAAATGTTGTCCTTGATTCTTTGAGCTTTTGTGGAAAATGAGTTACATAGAATGCTTATTTTCAGTTTATATTTTTGTAGGTCAATCAATATATCGTATTATACATAGATCACCATATTTTTCCAAAAAATACAAGTTACTTTCTTGCAAATCAGGAAGAGCATTGGCTAAAAAACACTTGCTTCTTTATTAGTGATTGAATTACCTTATGCTTTTTGGAGTACATAATTTCCGATATGAGTGTATGACATAGTACCTAGGTATATTACCTGGCCATCAGCAGATGAAGTGATAATGTTACGATCATCGGTGAATGGCATGAACTTGGCCTGGAAGATGTTATCAAAGTGGCCTGATGGATATGATAATTTTGATGTCTTTGTTGCCCAGTCCCACAAAATTACTTGTTTGTCATCCGAGCCAGACACCAGAGTGTCGCCGAGTGAGTTGAAACTGATTGTGTTAACACATCCCTGATGACCTTTTAATTTTCCATACAAATCAAGTTGTTTCACCACACCCTACACCAATGAAGAAAAAAGGACATTAGAAATTTGAGTCACTTCATCCAACACAACATTTTTCAATGCTCTAAAGAATCCATTGGCACTTTTCACATCCTGATTGTCGAAAGCCATGCACAACTTTTGAGTTTTAATGTTTTTACATCATTACTTGATCCATAAATAAAAATCATAACCTCTTTACCTTCAAATAATCCACAACACCAGCAGCTCACAAAGTTAGTGATGAAAAATGCAAATCCAGTTCATTAAAAAAAATTCCCTTGAGCACATTTCCTATACCTTTCTCAGACTCACAAATTTAAGAGAAATTTGACAAATATAAAATGAAAACAATGTTATCAAGTTAAAAAAAAAAACAGAGAACATATCAGGGTCTAAAGCAACTACATAGAATTCAGCAAAAGGGAGAAACAGAACATGTAAATTAAGGTTTAAGTAGATGAATCGAGGACCTCGGAAGCCGCGATTCGGCGAGAGAAAGTTCTGGAGACCGATAAGCCAATCTCTCTCTTCCAAAATTCTACGAATTTATCATCTTTGGAAGCCCCGCAAAGGCTCTTCATCCTCGGTAGAGATTTTTATTCGCCAAGCAAGTATTAGCTATCAGAATGTTGCGAGTGAGTATAGCTTAGATTACACCGAAGAACTCAACCTGAGAAGATTGTCACCAATGTCACCAATTTGGTCATGGATAGGCCTGTCAATGGGTCGGGTCTAGACCCGGACCCGACCCGGACCCGGTTTTTTTTAACGGGTATGAGTCCTTATTTTATTCCGTTTACCCGAACCCGGACCCGTTAGTACTTTTAATAAACGGGTCGGGTATGGTACTTATGACTCCGAACCGTTAAGGACCCGGACCCGTTTAAAATTTCTTATTAGTATATACACACACACTAATACACAAAGAGATTAGTTATATGAGTCCCGATCCTGTCAGGCCGGCCTGACGGAAACCGCTATCAGGCCGAGGCCATCAGAGGCCCTTCCCGGTGGAATTTTTTGATGAAATTTTTTGAGCATGTTCCTCATCAAGTCTAGTTTATCCATACCAAATGTCAGCTAAAAATTCAATCCGGAAGACACTCAAATAAATGTTCTACAAAAACTGCACTTTATATATACATAAACTGCACAGTTTTGGTAGATAATTTATTTCACTGTCTTCCGGTTTGAATTTTTAGCTGAAATTTGGTATGAACAAACTAGACTTGATGAGGAACATGCTCAAAAAATTTCATCAAAAAATTCCACCGGAAGGGCCTCTGATGGCCTCGGCCTGACGGCGGTTCCCGTCAGGCCGGCCTGATATGATCTGTCCTCTTAGTTATAATACTTCAAATAAAAATACAAACTAATATATATAAAGTGATTAGTTTTAATTCTTTGATTAAAAAGAAACGAATTAATACATACCTAATGTATAAGTGATAATATAATAGTACGTAGTATATAATATGCTTTTAGTCCAAAAGAACTTTTTGTGACCTAATTTCTAGTCTAATATACGAGTTTTCTGTGGGAGAAAAAGAGACACAAAGTGCGGAATTGTACGTATCTACAAGAACCGATATTTTATTGGATAAAAGTACTAATTTTCTATGATAAAGCTTGATTTTTTTTTGAAAAGTGAAGATATATTTTGCTTTTAAATTTGTGCACTTTGATTTACATTTCATATACATGTTTTGCTATTTTTAAAAAATTATATAATGTTCTGTAAAAAAAAGTTATATAATGTTGTGATATGATACTTGGAGGGTCTACCCGACCCGGTTCCGAGACCCGTTGGGTCCGGGTCCAAATTTTTAGACCCGCCGGGTAAACGGGTCGGGTCCGGGTCCTTTATTTACTTGGCGGGTCCGGGTCTGGAACACTACGTTCCGACCCGAACCCGACCCATTGACAGGTCTAGTCATGGACTGGGCCTGGTCGGGTCCGGGTCGGACCTAGGCCGGACACCGGCCCGGGTACGGGCTAGATTGGGTCCGGGTCGGGCCGGACCGGGTCAATGTATTTTTTTCTTTTCTTATTAACCCCGACCCCCCAAACCCTCCCAAAACATCCAACCCAGCTCAGGGAAAAAAACCAAAATAATGAAAAAACCCAAAAAAAAAGGTCCGAATCGGGCCCGCCTCGCCGGTTCCAAAGAAGGGGGTGAACCGGGACCGCCCCACCCTAACCCCTGGGACCAAGCCTAGGCCCGGAACCAAAACCGGTACGCCGGCCCCACACAATAGCGGGCCGGACCGGTTCCCGGAACGGGCGGCCCGAACCGGGTCCAACACTAGTCACCAAGGGGCAACTCTGCCATCTCTATGACGTCATTGGTTTAAGAGTGCGTTTGGTAAAATGTAAAAGAATTCCTTTAGCGCGTAAAAAGTTTAAACTGTTTGGTCTGAAGTGTAAGGGCGTAAAAAGTTTACACTATTTGGTTTGGTTATCTAATATAAACTGTATGATACTTTTTAAAACCCTTCGCAATGTATCATGTAAAATATTTTATGTGGGGGGCAGTGGTGAAATATTTTGCATGGATTTTATGAAGCACTGCAACGTCTTTTTCGTACATTTTAAAAATAAATTGCGCAACCACCCAAACAATGTAATCTATTTTACATTCAAATTGATTACTTCCCTAAATTTTACATGCAATCATTTCGCTTGCAAATATTTAACATGCAAACTATCAAACGATCCCAAGAGTAAAAACTAAAAAGCACTCGCCTTTGTAAAAATGTGTCGCAAAGTATGTAGCAAAGATTGTCTCATATGAGTATCATATCTCTCTATCAGAAACGTTCTCGTATCAAATATTCTAAAATACATGTATTGTATATCTTTGTAATTATTTTAAAATTTTGGATATATGTATCCTGACGCATACATGTATCAACTTTTTCTAAGCAAAAAAATCCAAAAAATTTAATAATAAAATTCTTAAAATATGAAAAACTGAAAATAAGTTTTGCCTTGGTTACATCCTCGAGTGTCGCACACCATTAATCGCCCTATCTGCTACTATTTTTGTTCTATCTCCATTATCTCAGAACTTTGAGTATTTACACTTTTAATTTCAAAATTGTGATTATTTGACTTGTTTCTCATTTCATATTAGTGACTTATTGACTATATTTATCGAGTGGAACTAGTATATGATAAATTATTACTCCCTTCGTCCCAAAAAATACTTCCCAATTTGACTTAACATGCTTATTAAGGGGGGTGTTTGGATCTGATTCATAAAACTACTTCTGCTCCTTCAGGGAGCAAAAACAGAAGTTGGAGTGTTTGGGTGAAAGTGATTCTGGTGCTCTAATTTACTCCTAAAATCAGTTTTTTTTAGAAGCTGAGGCCTGAGGGGGGCCAGCTTCTGGAAACTAATTTTGATTCTGCTTCTACTTAAAAAAAAAAAAAGCAGAAGCAGAATCAATTCCAAACACCCCCTAAGAATGTAGGAATAAAGTGGAAATGTATGGTTGTGATTGAGTAAAAAAAAAAGGTAAACGAATGTTAGCCATACAAAATATTCCAAATAGGTAAATGAGGAGATTTTTTTGGGACATCTCAAAATGACAAGTGAGAAGATTTGTTCGGGACGGGGCGAGTATATAATGTGAAATATTTCAATGCAATGAATGGACAAACTATAATATATGTATATATTTTCAAAAAAAATTGTAATATCAATTATTTATAAATACTCCCCCATAATTTTAATATTTATAAATACACCCCCATAAATTTTAAGCCACACATTGTTGCCAAAAGAGGAAACAAGACAATTTTTTGGGACATCCGGAAAAGAAAACAAGACAATTGTTTTTGAACGGAGGTACGTAGTACGTAGTATAAAAAGAAGGGATAAGGCTCAAATTGGACACTATGGTTTCATCAGAATCTCATATTTGACAATAAAATTTCAAATGGATCAAATTAGACACTATGGTTTCATATGTATCTCATATTGGACACTAAAGTTTCATAATTCATAGGTTTTGGACACTCACTTATATTGGATAAAGATCAAATTGGACACTCACTTATATTGAATTATGAAACTTTAATGTTCAATATGAGATACATATGAAACCACAATGTCTAATTTTGTCCATTTAAAACCTTAGTGTCAAATATGAGATTCTGATAAAACCATAGTGTCCAATTTGAGCCTTATCCCTAAAAAGAAAAGTCATTGATGAAAGTATTATTCATTTTTGGAAAATCTAACAAAGAGAACAACATGTAGGGTATGTTTGCAAAAGATAAAAAAGTGATTTTTAGCTTTTGGCTTAGAAAAGCTGAAAAAAATGTTTTCAAGTGACAATTTTTGTTAGAATAGATTTAAGCAGACAAGACTAGATCATACTCCGAATTAGACTAGAAAATTTTAATCGCAGATCAAACTAAACATAGACAAACAATACTAAATTAATCTTCGAGATTGGTAAAGTACACATAAATATGATATCTACCATACCAGACCAAACTAGAATAGATTCAAGCAAACAAGACTAGATCATACTCCGTACTAGACTAGAAAATTTCAACCGAACTAAAAACATCCTTACTTTGCTGGTCTAGTCTGATTTGGTCTGGTCTCTTTGTATTTTTATAACTATTCAAGTTTGTTCTGATCTGATCTGATCTGGTATGGTCTGATCTGGTCTGAGACAGATTGCAGTCCAAGTAAAAACATCCTTAATCATCACAATACATATCAATTTGTTAGTCGTTTTCCAACTTCACGCTAATCTCTATTTTAAAAAATCAATACCCTTTATAACAAAAATCCATCAACTTTCTATAACGTTTTTAAGACATAGAGATAAGACCAAGTGGGACATCACATTTTTTAAACATCTTTATATTATCAGAAATTGTCCTAAATGGGACAAAAAGTAGGCTAAAAACCTAAAATAAGACTTCTTATGTTTTTATTTCAAAATAGGACCATATGAGTCCTATTTGGAAACATGCTTATATTACCTTTCCACTTTTACCCCTGTTATGTTTTACACCTCCCAGTTTAATATTTTTCTTTATTTATTGTGTTAGTTATCTTACCCGCCACCGCCTTCTATCTTTGAACTTCGTCTCTTTCCTCCGGTGCGATCAGCTCTGCAACTCAACTTGCGATTATACTGGCTTTCCTTCCGTGCGATCAGCTTTTCAAGTCAACTAACTCAATTCCAATCCGTTCCAACAGCTCTTCAACTCAATTTGGCGATTAAACTGGCTGGTATGTGAAATTTAATTTGGCTATTATACTGTTTTTATGACCAAGTTATGATCGATCACAATCGTTGCTTTCAATTTAGCGATTATACTGTTTTTATGACGAAGTTATGATCGATCACAATCGTTGCTTTTAATTTGTCGATGATACTGTTATTTGAGCTTTCACTTTTTTTGAATCGTTTGCTATTTAATTTGTTTTATTGACGTTGTGATGCTTTCTACTCTTACTCAAATTATAATGTCTTGTTTCAGTGACATTCATTGATTTATCACTGTCATGAATGTTTTCAACCTTGTAGCTTCCGCTTGCTGTTTTTATGTTATTGCCAAAAATGTGGCATTTTGCATTAGGTTATATGCCTTTTTTGTTATTCAGTTTTATAAACTGATTTTTTGTTATATTGTTTTTGTGACCAAGTTCACGATCACAATCAGTGCCTTTAATTTGTCTATTATACTGTTAT